CGGAAGTTTCTACCGTCGATCTTAGCACAGTTATTTTCCAAGAAATTGAAAATACTATAAGTTCATTATCAGAAACAAAATCAATAAGTGATGATTTAGCGGAAGACCAACCAATAGAGCAATTAACTAGCTCATCGATAGAAAGTTTTATTCGTGAAATTCTCGTAACATCTCCAAGTAATTTCAATAGTTATTCCGGCGATAACATCTTCCAGAAAATACGTAGATTCGATCATCATTGGTCTGGCCGTTGGGGAGAGGAATTTGCATATCGCTACTTTAAAGAATATTATAAGAAAAAATTTTCATCGATTAATCATGAAGAGGAAACTAGTGGCAACTATGTTTTAGCTGGAACTTACGAAAACGGCAAAAATGTTACTATCAAGGTTATTTGGTGCAACCATAGTATGGAAAGCGGTAAACCTATGGACTTGCAAATTGTTATTGATGATTATAATACGTATATCGAAGTGAAATCAACTTATAAATCGGAAGATATGTTGGCAAAAATTAGCAAAAATGAATGGCGAGCTATGCGTCATTATGCTGAACAATATGAACTATTTTGTGTCTACAATGCTGGCAAAGCGGAGCGTGTACGAGTAAGAAAGATCAAAAATCCTGCAGCAAAGCTATATAACGGCGAATTTGTTCCTTCAGCAATGTATCTTAAACTCTAGCCTTGGTAGTATCGCCTTATAACAATAGTCATTTGATTTAATTATGGTATCTATTCCATTCGAATGGTTCTATGTTGCATTTATTTTAGAAATCTTCTTCATCTTACTTTTCCATTACACTGCTCGTCTATACGAAGTTAATTCAATTAAATATGCTTTCAATAGATAGATTTGGCATTGTAGTAGCAATTATGATAACTAGTTATGCTATTAGATTATAGTAATTAATAGTTTAGTTAAAAAACGGAATATGAACACGATAAGTTTATCTGAGTTCCAATCGGCATAAATTTTAGAATGGAGCCCGCCTTCGTTTCTTAATGTGCATTATGTACTGCAGTTACTGATTTGTAGACAGACTACGATACTTCGTGGTTAGATTATTTGTTTGTTATTACATTTGCAAGGAATGCAAGATATAATTTTTCTGAGCTTGTACGGCTAGTTGCCAAACTAATTTTGAATACATTAGAGTAATAATTTCGTCGCTATGATAGAATTCACTAATAGCTTGAAGATGCTTATAAACAGGTGTTGTAGTTCGATAGGTTGAAGGAAAAGCACAAGAGTTAGCCAGGCCAATTTTCTGTTTGTACAACTCGTTGTAACGTGTTTTGTTACGTGTGATTCGTATTTAAATAAATATTAAAAAATGTACGTGTGATTTATGAAGAAGCAATAATAAGTTTTTGTAGGGACAGCATTCTAGTAAAGACATAATTTCTGTAAGGACAGTCTAACTAAAAGAGTAGTCGGAGCTAGATGTCTTGAGAGAAAATAATTTTTTATTAGCCTAGAAAGAGACGGTAATTTGCAACAATATCATTTACAGCAATTTTGAATTAATATTAGTCTACTTGAAGGTCATGTTTTATGCTAAATTTCGTATACATTATGGGTATAGAATCTACTCCATTTACTTTAGAACTTTGAAAGCCAACAATCAAAGTTTGTACTTTAAATGGGAATGCAAGATGCCTCATTAAGCGATATCAGCAAGTCTCAGTAACTCTAGTATGATTAGCTTCGGGTGAGGAATAGCAATCATGCTGGCTTAGGATCCCTTACTTGGAGGAGATTAACTTAATAACTTATTATTAAGTATAAGGCAGGGTAAGGAAATCCATTGGATAGATTTCGATTGTCGTCTAAGCAGAATTGACCAGGAAGAATTTTGGGCAAGTATGTTTGTCAACATGTTGTCATGAAGGATTATAAAAGGCTGACTCATTTGGAAGGAAGTTCAGTCTAAAATCTAGCTGTGTATTGATAAACGTTGATTAAGCTTACTACTGTAATATTTAATAATAGTTATTAAATCTTAAACTGTTTTATCCACTACAATTGGGAGACAACTTTCATTTCAAACTAATGTTATTATTACCATTACAAGTAGCACAATTTTTAAATTTTGGAATTCATCATCGATTTTAGTTGCGGGAAAAGTTTCAAGCCTAAAAGTCTATGTTGACTGATATAATAACTTTATGAGTTGTTTAATGAGCCATAATTGCGTCTAAGCTTAAGGGAATATCTTATGTAGTTTTAGCTTGATTGTCATACTTTATCGCATACATTTTAAAGTTATCATTTTTACTACGGTATTAAAACTACGTTATCCTAAGTTTTTTACATGTATCTAGTGAGGAAGCAAACGAATTTTAACTATCGTTGTATTAACATTGGTAGGCGTAATTTAAACTATCCATATATCCATAATTTATTCACAACCCCATAATTTTATAATACTTTGAATGCAATTTTGTATGTTTCCGATTTTACTTAAGAATATTTGTGCAATACAATTTTAAGTAGTCATAAATTGCATTTATTATTAGGGCAAGGCCTTCAAATAGGTAAAAACAATAATCCGTAAATTTATATTTCTTTCCTACGCTACAGATAGGTATATGTCAAAATAGTAGGCTTATAATACTTTGACTACAATGTCATTTTAATTGAAATAGTGGCGTAGTAGCAAGGTTACAAGGCTATGCAGATGAAGTAATAAGCAACTTACAACGACGAGAAGTGGGAAGTAATGTAATGAATTATGAGAGTAGCATTTATAGAAAGAATCATTGCTACTCTCATTACATTTGTCGCATAAGCATCGTTTACAGACTATACATTAGACCCGATTGAATCCCTTATAGCTATAATATTGACTTGACATAATTTAAGTTAAATTTAATATCGTTGCAATTATCATCATGATTATAATTATCAGAAGAATCTAAAAATTAATTTATGTTTATATTTAATACAACTGATATTTTGATAGTTTTGGGTTTTATTTATAAATCTACTCTGTGAAAGCAATAAGAAATTACCTCCATGCGTGTAAATATTTATAAGTTGTTCTGAAAATTATTATAATAGCTATTAATGCATTGGTAAAGTGATTAGCCTCACCATGATGCAAACATGAGCTTTAATAGAAGGAGTTATCGTGTGTCTGAATTTTTTCTTGAATAATCTCAAAATAAGCCAGTAGACAAAATTGCATGATTTCATTTTGACCTGTTTAATCCATATTGAAAAATGTATACTTGTATCTGAGTATATATGCTACTTACATAAATCTGATTCATGAAACTATTTTCAAAGATGAATAGAGTAACTACATACTCCGATTGATTAATAATATATATTTCAAGATTTATAACAAACTTCTTAAAGAGATTTGTAACAATGATGATACTAAACCCTATTCTCTATTTATTCTAACAGGATCCCATACATATGGATAGTTAATAGCACTTCCTATCACATAAGTAAATTGTATACAATACATTTTAATATCAATTATTAAACTGTTCGATAGGAAAATGAAGGATACTTATGGTATGTACTACACTGCATGCCGTACTATCGCTATATTTTTCTAACACAAAACTGCTATAATTAGCTGAAATCATTACAGGGTATAATTATTGGCTTTAGTTCGAAATTTAAACGTCCAGTTTTATATTAAACATAAATTAAAATAAGTCAGCCGGGCTCACGTATAAATTTCAAGCTGATTTTACTCTTGCTATTACCATATAATTTATTTAAGAGCGGAATTGAAATATCTTTTGAATCATAATTATTAATATATCTACTACTATTATAAAGACGAATAATACTGATATTACTGATGTTTTACAAAATAGCCACCAATAAGCACACTCGAATGATGAAAATATTTTTGAAACAGGAAATACTTTTAAGGAGTAACTGCTTAATTGACAACTTACCGTATATTTAGATATTGTTTTATACAACGCTTGCTTAGATGCAATACAAATTTCTTATTCTTATAGTTTACAAGAAAAAAACTATTAATAAATGAACATTATGGCTTTTCATAGTATTGTAGCAAAGTCTTTAATCTTCTAGTGTTCATAAAGATATTGGTTGCAACTCCATTTATTCCACTCTTTATTATTATAACTACCGCATTAGTGCTGGTTTATTATACTTTATTTCAAATAAATCATAGAATATGTTAGAACATTTATTTAAAAGATACACAGGGTATTTATATTTGATCTCAACACACCGAGTATAATATATCATATCTAACCGTTTACTGCAAGCTGAGATATAATGAATATACAAAGATCGCAATTAAGCTAAAGCTATTACGTTATTGACCCAAAAACCAAAATATACATGGTCATTAATGTAGAAAATAACCAAGAAATTTATACTTTTGAATCGTTTAGATCATCATTAGCGATAGGATATATTCTATAAAATTTAACTAATTAATAATGAATGAATGAACGAAAACCAATACATGTATTCAATCTTGATAGCTAATCAACCACATCTGCATAATTTTATATTTAAAGGGATCAATATAACTAAGATAATAAATGATAGGCTTGAAAACAACGCTTAAAAAGCAAATTTCAAAATGATTCATTAAGGTAGACTTTATATACTCACGCTATTTATTTATAGAATTAATTAACTGCAGTATATCATAGCAGCAAACATGTCAAAGATCACTTAAATTACGATAAATTGTCAAAGACGTAAATATTGAAATTATTCTATGAAAATAACGTTGCGTAACAAAAAATTTATACAAATTAATCATGAATCTAACGATGAATGCAAGTAATATAAAGGTTCCACTCTATAAAAAGCTTGAAATAAGCAATAAAAGTAAGGTGTGCGATAATGAACCGACAAAAATTTATGTTTATATCCATTTTATGTAATTAATTCTGTTAGAATCATTGATCCAGGAATGATTAGCAGCATCAAGAAGAAAAGGTTTCATGAATTGAAAAGATGCTACAGAAACAAAGTCATATGTTAGTAGATTTAAGAATACCTCAGATCAACTAACTCTTGTTCCAAGTAATTAATCAATTATACCACAAAGATCGGTATTCACAAAATTGGCATAATCAAGATGGATAAGATAAATTGTGTTATATGTGCGAGATGATACAATAATAAATTAATGAATCTTATATGCGTATTCATTCTACTCATGCTATATAAAACTAACGATATCAAAATAATTATGAGTTAAAAAAGGATCAACATAGTGTGTGTGAATAAATACAAAATTTAAATAAAGCCATAAAAACAAGACCGGAATCGTCAAATTAATAAAGACTTTAAATGCTAACATATTCCATCCAATTACTTTATCACACTAAAGCTATTGGTATTGGAACTAGTAGCACATTTATGATGAACAAGAGACAATAAAACTTGAGATACACAATAATAAGAGGGTAAATAAGATTAAAAATTAATAAAGACTTCACGTAAATCTATGCAATTTACTTATTTACACGGTAACAATTAGTAACTCAAAAATCGGCATAAATAAGATAGAAAAATTCAAGACAGGACATGAAAGATAATAAAAACTAACTGATGCAATTATATACATATTAATTATCAAATATTCACTCACAATATGCAACTAACCTATTAGCACAGTATAACCAATTCTGAATTAACTAATTAATAAGTTAACAGATTAA